CCCCCCCCCCCCCCCCCTCTACTGTCTCCTTTCCTGTCTACTGTCTCCCCTTACTGTCTACTGTCTCCTTATTTGTCTACTGTCTCCTTATTTGTCTACCGTCTCCTTATCTGCCTACTGTCTCCTCATCTGTCTACTGTCTCCTTATCTATCTACTGTCTCCTTATCTGTCTACTGCCCCCTATACTATCTACTGTCTCCTTTGTCTCCTTCTTATAAAGTGTCTCCTTTTTTTTCTTTTTTTTTTTGTCTCTTTTTTCTTCCCCCTCTAAGAATATTTATTAAATCAACTGTCTCTGTCTCGGACACGCCCCGCTGTTTGCTGCCCTGCTGCTGTTGCTGCTGCTGCTGCAGCAGCAGCAGCAGCAACAGCAAAAGGAAATGCAACAACAGCAGCAGGATATGCAGCAATAGCTGCCTTCCGCTGCTGCAGCTGCAGCAGCATAGACTCCATCTGTCTACCTGCTGCTGCTTCTGCTGCTAATGCTGCGTCTGCTGCTGCTGTTGCTCTTCAAGGAACAGCAGCAGCAGCAACCGCAGCAGCAGCAGCAACTGCAGCAAGGTATAATATAATTTAGATAATGCCTATCTTGTTAGCAACATCAAGGGCATCATACTCAGGAGAAAGACGAACATATGCCTTCTTCTTACCATCCATCCTGCACAAATAAATAAATAAATAAATAAATAAATAAATAAATAAATAAATAAATAAAATAAATAAATAAGCAAATACAGACATAAACAAATACATAAACATAAGTAAATAAGAATATATGCATACATGCGTGCATGCACATATAAACGCATGCATATGCAGCATTCATGCATGCATGCATGCATGCATGCATGCATGCATGCATATTTTGGGGCTTTATTAATGTATGAAAGCCGACTGGCGACACAAAAGGAGGAAGAATTTTATATCGCTAATAAACTTTCTTTTTATTTACCCCTTATTTGTTTACCTGTCTCCCTATTATTAATAATAAATAATAATAAATAATTATTATTATTATTATATTAAGGAGGAAGACAGAATTAAACAAACAAGGGAAATAAATATAAATAAATAAATAAATAAATAAATAAATAAATAAATAAATATAAATATAAATATAAATACAAAGAAAAATAAATAACAACCTAAATACATGCATGCATGCATGCATGCATAAACACACACACACAAAAAAAAAGAAAAAAAACAAATAAAAGAATAATAAATAAAATAAAGTAAATAAATAAATAAATAAATAAATAAATAAATAAATAAATAAACGTACCTAATAAGAGTATTAACTTTTTGTGTATCTACACCATAAGTATCCTTAATAGCTTTTTTTATATTATTTTTATTAGCAGAAGGATGGCAAATAAATACAAGTGTATTTATTTCCTCTATTTTCTTCATGGCGCTCTCTGTAGTTATTGGCTGCTGCAGCACTAAATATTTGTTGCTCTTGTTGCGCTGCTGCAGCACAGGGATTGGGTTCCCTGTCCAGTGTGCAGACAGACGAGGAGCACGAGGAGAACGGGGCTTCTTTAAGGTACGAGGCCTGCATGCATATAGCAGCAACAGCAGCAGCAGCAGCAGAAACAGCAGCAAATAAGGATATGTATAAGGGTTGGAGGGAAGAAGGGATCGTGCTGCTGCTGTTGTTGCTGCTGCTGTTGTATGTTATATTATACTACTCATGTTGCTGCTGCTGCTTCTGCTTCTGCTGTTGTTGTTGCTGCTGTTGCTGCTGCTGCTGCTGCTGCTGCTGCTGCTGCTGCTAATTACCTGTAGAAGCGTGTAGTGTATCGTGCCTTAACAGTTGCTATTCTGCTGCTCTTTTTTAATCCTTTTTTTACTGCCTCTGCTTTCTTTACTTTCTTCTCTACTGCTGCTTTGCTGCTGCCCTTAGCAGCAACTGCAGCAGCAGCAGCAGCAACAACAACAACAACACAACACAACACAACACATATACATATACACACACAATATATAATTATATTTCCTGCTGCTGCTGCTGCTGTTGTTGCTCCATGTGTTGCTGCTGTTACGGTGTGCTGCTGCTGCTGCTGCTGCTGCTGCTGCTGCTGCTGCTGCTGCTGCTGCTGTTGTTGTCTGATATTCTATCTCGTAGAATATGTGTATATGCAACAAAAGGAGTAGACAAAAGAATTTTAATTGCTGCTGCAGTTGCTGCTGCTGCTGCTGTTGCTGCTGTTGCATGTGCTGCGGGGCGGGGCCCCAGAGCAGCAGCAGCACATGCGGCAGCAGCAACTGGCCAGCGCCACCTATTTGCTGCATAAGAAGGGCAATAATTCATAATTTACCCTAAAACTAATAGGTCTACTACACAAGAGCAGCAGCAGCAACTGCTGCTGCTGCTGCTGCTGCTGCGTGGGGTGCTGCTGCTGCTGCTGCAGGGGTCTTTTTCTTACCTTTCTCCTTTGGCGCCATTTTCCTTATAGAGGGAAAAACAAAGAAAAACAAAAAAGAGGAAATAAACAACTGCTATAATAAATCCTCCTTATATCCTCCTCATGTGCTGCAGTTGTTGCAGTTGCTGCTGCTGCTGCTGCTACTGTTGCTGCTGCTACTTCCATGCATCAGCACGCGGGGCCTGCTGATGCATGGCGGCAGCCGCCGCTGCTGTCGCTGTGGCTGCTGCTGCTGCTGCATGCAGCAGCATGCAACTGTTGCATAATTATACAATAAATATAAATAAAATAAATTATTTATTTATTTTTATTTTTATTTTTTTTTATTCTTTTTAATATAACTCCCCCAACTCAGGCGCAGCAGCCGCTATGCATGCGGCATGCCTGCTGCTGCTGCTACTGCCTCTGCTGCTGCTGCTGCAACGACTGGTGTTGCTGCTGCTACAGCAGCAGCAAGAAGGGGCCCACCAGGGGGGCCCCTGCGTGTTGTCTTCTGCAAGAATAGATTTGTTTAATGTATTTTCTTTTATTATTTGTTAGTACCCTCTAAACCTTTATTCCTTATAAGACAGCAGCAGCAACACCGCTGCTGCTGCTGCTGCTGCTGCTGTTCCTGCTGCTGTCGCAGCAGCAGCTGCTGTTGTTACACTAGCAAGTGTTGCTGCTGCAGCGCCTTCTCCTGCTGCTCATCTTCTTTCTGCTCATCTACCTGTTTCTACACACTTCCTGTTAGCTGCCTATACACCCGAGGCCCCACATGGGGGGCCCCTTGGGGGCCCCGGTGGCCCCTAGACACCGTATTCAATTACCAAACCCTCTTGTCTTCTTAGATATTGCTATTGGTAATAAAAATGCAGGAAGACTCATCTTCCAGGTACAGATACTGCCTGCTGCTGCTGCTGCTGCTGTTGTTGCTGCTGCCGTTGCTGTTGCTGCTGTTGCTGCTTCTCTTGCTGCTCCTGCTCGTGCTGTTCTTTCTGCTGGTCCTTAGAAGATCTTGTGGTTGTTGCTGCTGTTGCTGCTGCTGCTGCTGCTCAGTTGTTTGCAGATCAGCTGCCAATAACAGCAGAAAACTTCCGCTGTCTATGCACTGGTAAGCTCAGCAGCAGCAGCAACAGCAGCAGCAACGGCAGCTCTAGGAGCAATGTGAACAGCAGCATCAGTTGCTGTTGCCAATTGGTACTTATTGCATGCATACATGCATGCATGCATGCATTGTGGTGTACGTACACTGCAGGGGAGACGGGGCTTGGTTATTATATGCGGCCTAGATGGTATAAAGGAACTCCTTTCCATCGTATTATACCAGGATTCGTATGTTGCTGCTGTTGCTGCTGCTGCTGCTGCTGCTGCTGCACTTGCTGCTGCTGGTGGATACTGATCAAGTGCTCCTGGTAGAGAGTTGTTGCTGCTGTATCTTCTGCTGCTGCAGTCGCTGTTGCTGCTGTGACGGCTGTATCAAATAAAAGAATAACTGTTGCTGTTGCTGCTGCTGCTGCTGCTGCACTTGCTGCTGCTGCACTTGCTGCTGCTGCTGCTGCTGCTGCTGCAGATGGCTCAAGGTGGTGATTTTCATAGAGGTGATGGGTATGGAGGAGAAAGTATTTATGGTCAATTCTTTAGGGCAGAGAGACATCTATATAGCCACTCTAAAAGAGGTAAGCAGCAGCAGCAGCAGCAGCAGCAGCAGCAGCAGCAGCAACAGCAGCAGGAGCAGCAGGAATAGCAGCAGCAACAGCAGCAGCAACAATAGTACCAATAAAAATAACACCATCAGCAAGATGATATAAAAAAACAAATAAGTAAATATAAGCAAATAAAAGTAAATAAATAAAAAAAATGCATGCATGCATAAATACATGCATGCATGCATGCATGCATGCATGCAAATATGAGGTGCGTATACACCTGACGCAGGCCTACTATCAATGGCTCGTTGCCGGGACCGTCACTCCTATAGTAGCCAATTTTTTATAACTTTTTCTTCCTGTCCTTGGCTAAATAATATAAATATTGTATTTGGTCAATTAGAGGAAGGATATAATTTATTAAATATTATTGAGGAAGAAGGAAGAAAACATCAAGGAATAAGGAAGAATGTATATATTTATAATTGGTAACTTATATACTTTATTTATTTATTTATTTATTTTATTTATTTATTTATTTATTTATTTA